TAAGTACCATATTATAGACAAATATTGCGCAAATGTATGATTGATATCCTATCCAACGAAGAGCTCTTCAATCGTATCCACAATTATGTCCAGCATTTGATGAAAATATTTGCCAAAAACAGCGATTTGAGTGTGTATTTGGAGAAAACTGTTGAACTGATTGATGCCATCAATTGTCAGTCAATTGGTGAGGACGACGCGCCGCCCCCTCCCTCTCAGCCCACTCAAGAGGTAGTGTTGAGTGCGGATGAGTTGAAGCAATTAGAGATCGATTACGCGAGGCTTTCCATTAGAGTCGAGTCACTGAAGGATGACTTGGAAAGCGCCGAACGCAATGACAGCCAATCGGAAGCCGACAGCATTCGGGCCTTAATCGCCGAATACACGGGAAAAATGAACGATATTATGGAGAAACGACTTCGAGTTAATGTCACACAAATGCCTTTCAATTCACAACAATCGTCGCAAATGTCTCAAAATGAAAACCGAACCCAAAAGACATTAACTGTTTGTTTGATATTATTTTTTAATTGATTTTTTGCGATTAATTAATTTGTTTATTGACTGAAAGGACGATCCGATAGCACTCGAACGATGCCTTCAAATATTCAACGGTTGTTTGGAGTTTGGAGACTTCAAAGCACCGCATCCTATGATTCTAACACTTATTGACAAATTTGTAAATATTTTTAATTATTTTTGTTTTTACATTTTATTGATTGCATTATTGGTTCAACTTTTAGGTGATTCCGTGTATTCTTGTGCCTGAAATCAAAGTGAGAGAACGTGCGGTCAATTGTTTGGGTCTTTCGTGTCTATTATCGCAAGAGTTGGCCAAAAAACACTTCGCGCTCTTTGTTCAAGTATTTTCAACCAAAACTAGTAGTTATTCATCACAATAATTATCCACAATTTGTGTCTCCAATAGATTCTCAATTTTGACTCGGATTTACCACAAGAAACGGCATTGAAATGTTTATTTGACTTATTATGTGTTCACGGATTGAGTAGTTTTGACTACAAATCCAAAAACAGAAGTTTTAATAAAAGCAAAAACATTATCATCGATGACGACGAGAACGGTTCCAACGATAAGGAAAACCAAAGCGTTCACAACAATAGCACTCGACGACGAAGTGGTGCCACAAACGATGGCACAGAGTCTATGGATGAGGACGAGGACAACGACCGCACTATTATCAACGAAACAGGTCTCGACGTTCTGTGCAGTGATTCAGAGGCCGGAGACCAGGAGGACGTGGACGAAGAGGACACTTTCATCAATCTGTTCACCGAATTGCTCGAAAAGCATTTGAATTCAGAGATGGATTCCATTAAATTGATTACAAGTCAAGGAATTGGGAAACTATTTATTTTGGGTATTATTTATTGGCTCTGAATTGGGCTCACATTTATATGCCTTATATTAACCGACTCTCTATTACCCGACGACCCGATAGGACGCATGTATTCGCCGCAACTGTTGTCTAAAATGATACTCCTTTGGTACGATCCCGACTCGAGCGAAGAGTTGCGCCAATTTTTGGGCGTATTTCTGCCCATCTATTCCGGCGTCCGAATGAAGGCTAACCTGAAGGGCGAGAACGCGTTCGAGGAGTGCTTCCTCAAGACCGTGGAAGTGGATTCACAACAATAGCACTCGACGACGAAGTGGTGCCACAAACGATGGCACAGAGTCTATGGATGAGGACGAGGACAACGACCGCACTATTATCAACGAAACAGGTCTCGACGTTCTGTGCAGTGATTCGGAGGCCGGAGACCAGGAGGATGTGGACGAAGAGGACACTTTCATCAATCTGTTCACCGAATTGCTTGAAAAGCATTTGAATTCAGAGATGGATTCCATTAAATTGATTACAAGTCAAGGAATTGGGAAACTATTTATTTTGGGTATTATTTATTGGCTCTGAATTGGGCTCACATTTATTTGCCTTATATTAACCGACTCTCTATTACCCGACGACCCGATAGGACGCATGTATTCGCCGCAACTGTTGTCCAAAATGATACTTCTTTGGTACGATCCGGACTCGAGCGAAGAGTTGCGCCAATTTTTGGGCGTATTTCTGCCCATCTATTCCGGCGTCCGAATGAAGGCTAACCTGAAGGGCGAGAACGCGTTCGAGGAGTGCTTCCTCAAGACCGTGGAAGTGGAGACTCGAGCGAAGAGTTGCGCCAATTTTTGGGCGTATTTCTGCCCATCTATTCCGGCGTCCGAATGAAGGCTAACCTGAAGGGCGAGAACGCGTTCGAGGAGTGCTTCCTCAAGACCGTGGAAGTGGTCTACAACCTCCGTGAGTTAATGCAATTAGAGCTATTAGAATAATTGAAACATGAGCTTGAGTAGAGGCTACTGCCGGTGTTCTTAAACCGGTTTAGACACCGGTTAGCCAATCATCAACACGGGCTGAAAACTTTATGCATTTTATTAACGAATTGTTTTTTTTAAACAGAATTATAACCCGAATAGTGGCCAACGGTGTGGACGACATTCTTTGGAGCAAATATTACTTACGTGTGCTGTCAGTGCTTCGTCTCCGGGAAATGACAACACATGACATAAAAGAGTATAAACTATTGATTAAGAAGATTGAGAGAGTGCTCAACAAACGCAAAGTGAAGACCAAACTGACGCTCAATCGGATGCAAACCATTAAGTCTAAGGTCGAGAAACAGGTCGAACTGATTGGTCACAACTCGTCGCAGGTGTCCATCATTGAAGACTTTGGATCCGTCTCTCTGTCGCAAACGTTGTCGCAAAGCATTAGCGAACACTCGCACGTCGACGAGACTATGCTCGACAACTCACAGACCTCTCAGTAGTCGACACACACTACGATTTATGTCATCATTTTGTATATTAGTTTACTCTCGCATTGTTTTCCTCCCTATCCTATAGACCGGTATTTAATAATTGCTTTTTATGTTCTAATTTTAAGTAAACTATTCAATTGATTAGTTGTTTTTCAGTTCTTTGAGTGTTTGATAACTTTAGTATAATTTCTTAAGTCAATTATTTTTGTAAACATTTTTAAAACTCACATTTTCTTTAAATACTTAATTTTAAATTTATGGTTAATATAACAAATGGTATTAACTTTTTTTTGTCCCTTTTTTCATAAAAATTTTTACGAACTCTTAAAGTGTCAACAAATGGTGTATTTATTTATTAATTTCACATTTAACGAGTTTTATACTGAATTTCAATGTAAACTTTTATTTAAAGAATTTAAAACTTTACTACATATAGGCGTTGAAGACAGTATTTTTTGTATTAATTTTTAATGTAATAAATGGCTAAAACACTAAACAATGTTAAATCACTTAATTATTGGGACTATGTTTTGGGCGCCCGACAGTCGACGGTTCCCCTCCCAGAGTTCTTGCAGTCTTTAGTTTCGATTACTTTCTGAATGGCAGTGAATCCCAACTGCAAGACCGACAGATCACTCGCATCACACTCTTTGGCCACAACGTCTATCAGACAACCTTTTAGTGCGAATCCATTGTTAGTAATAGTAATCAATCGACTTATTATTCAAAGCGTTTATCAATTGATTTACACATGAAATCCCAGAGCGCTTTGCAATCGTTGGGACCCAACTTATCGTTGCCGACGTCCACATCGTATCGATTGGCCGCTCTCTCCACGCATTTACCCAATTCTGGTTTCAGTTTCTTACGACACGTATCGCTCATTTTGGCCAAACGCTCCTTCAGTACCTCCTCATCGATGGCGAACAGATTGGCTGACAATCGATTGGTTTGTTTTCAATAATGTCATTATTCTAACTATTATCTATAAATTATATGATAATAAATATTTACCATAATTCATGGGTTCTTTTCATTAGGAAATGACGCTTAGAATGTAAGCAATTATTGAATTTAATGAACATTTTTATGAAATACAAACCAATTGGAAACGACTCTAATTCTTCCTCTGGTATTGAGACAAATAGTAATTACAACTTATGTTAAAATTGTGNAAATGACGCTTAGAATGTAAGCAATTATTGAATTTAATGAACATTTTTATGAAATACAAACCAATTGGAAACGACTCTAATTCTTCCTCTGGTATTGAGACAAATAGTAATTACAACTTATGTTAAAATTGTGGTTTTTAATTACCGAAGTTGGGGCCCACGTATTCCTCCACTCTATGCCTAGTGTCCCGGTGTTGACTCGGGTCGTAATGAGGACTGCTGTCACTGTAGCCCTTAACCCTCATATGGCTTTGGACACTCAAATGCATGGTTACCGACTTAAATAACAGTACTAAAGCCCGTGTCAGAGACTTAGGTAGCAACATAGGTTAGGACATAAGTGACCGCTTTGGTAACCGATTTAGATTACTATTCTAATTTGCAAACAAACACTTCCATAATTTTCCCTTAAACTCGTTAACATTAAGTGTTGTCAACATATTTCTAAATATATATTCAATTTGTTATATAATTATTATATGAGAATCACAGATGGTTATTATAGTTTTATTATAATGTCAATTATTTATTCAATTATAATTATCAATTATATTAAATAAACTTAAGACTGTTTAGACAATAATTTTTTATGGACTTTTGTGCTCAAAATGATAACATCTTCGACAGGTTTGTCATCTTTTTTGGTCCGCACTTTACCCATATCTCTGACAACTTTCATACTTTCAATTGCCTTTACTTTACCGAAAATAGTTTGCTTTCCATAGAGATGTGGAGTCGCCGCTAAGGTTGTGAACAATTGACTCCCATTAGTGTCTTTTCCACAGTTAATTAAAATGCAACCCCATTATGAATTGACACTAAATTCAGTTAATATAAATGTTTATAAAATTTTTGAATCAAATATATTTATTTTAATGAACAAATGCTTTGTTAAAATATACTATTTATTTTTATTTAATCATTGATTGCCATCATATTTGATTAATTGTCCAAAACGTGTCCAAAATAAAACATATGTTTAAAATGTACACTAAATATTATTGTATTTAGTGGACTCTTGCGCTCAATATGACCACATCATCTACAGGTTTGTCATTTTGACCGACCTTTGCTTTACCGATAGCGTCGACAACATCCATACCTTCGCACACTTGACCGAAAACAGTGTGCTTTCCATCGAGATGTGGAGTCGGGGCTAATGTGATGAAGAATTGACTCCCATTCGTGTCTTTTCCAGAGTTAGCCATACTTAGGACACCCTTTGAACAGTGTTTGAGTTCGTCGACAATTTCGTCGGCAAACTTCGTGCCCCATATGGATGTGCCGCCCATTCCGGTGCCTTCGGGGTCCCCGCCCTGTATCATAAAGCCATCGATAACTCTGTGAAAGATGGTGTTGTCGTATTGGCCACTCCGAGCGAGTCCGGCAAAATTTTCGCACGTTTTGGGCGTCTCAGACCAGAACAGCTCTAAAGTGATCTCTCCTTTATTGGTTATTAAAGTCACATATGTTTCTCCGTGTAATGCTTTCGACCACTCGATCGATGATATGATTAGTAAAAGTACTTTTAATACAAATAATTTGCATTTATTTCCGTCGATATTCATGTTTGTTGTGATGAAAGCATAGTTTTAATTTTAATACTGAATTACTTTTTGCCACGCATTCAACCTTATTGTAAACTAATTAATTAAAATGCGAACCCATTATGAATTGCCACTCAAATTCAGTTAATATAAATGTATTTAAAAATGTTGAAGCAAATATATTTATTTAAATAAACAAATGTTTGTCTAAAAATACTATTTATTTTTATTTAATCATTGATTGTCATCACATTATATTTGATTAATTGTCAAAACGTGTCCAAAATTAAACATATTTCTTAAAATGTACACAATATTATTATATTTAGTGGACTATTACGCTCTTAATGAAGACCTTATCTACAGGTTTGTCATTTTGACCGACCTTCACTTTACCGATAGCTTTAAGAACTTTCATAGATTCTTCATCGGCTACTTTACCGAACACAGTGTGCTTTCCATCGAGATGTGGAGTCGGGACTAATGTGATGAAGAATTGACTCCCATTCGTGTCTTTTCCGGAGTTAGCCATACTTAGGACACCCGCGGAGTCGTGTTTGAGTCCTTCGTCGACACGAATTTCGTCCTCAAACTTCTCGCCGTATATGGATGCGCCGCCGCGTCCGGTGCCTTCGGGGTCCCCGCCCTGTATCATAAACTTATCGATAACTCTGTGAAAGATAGTGCCGTCGTATTTGCGCTCCCAAGAAAGTCCGACAAAATTTGCGCACGTTTTGGGCGTCAGTGTGCAGTTCAAGAGCTTGATCTTGATATCTCCTTTACTGGTCACTAAAGTTACATGTGTTTCCCCATCCGATGCTTTCGACGACCCGATCGATGATATAATTAGTAAAATTACTTGAAATACAAATAATTTGGTTTTATTTCCGTCGATATTCATGTTTGTTGTAACAAATGTTTTAACTTTAATAAATTTATTACTTTTTTGCCACGCATTCAACGCTATTATAAACTAATTAATTAAAATACAGACTCATTACGAAATGACACTCAAATTCAGTTAATATAAACGTATGTTTTAATATTTATTTAAATGAACAAATGCTTTGTTTAAAAATATTATTTATTTTTATTTAATCATTGATTGCCATCACATCATATTTGGTTAATTGTCAAAACGTGTCCAAAATAAAACACATTTTAAAAATTTACACTAAATATTATTATATTTAGTGGACTATTGCTCTCTCAATAATGACGTTATCTACAGGTTTGTCCTTTAGACCGACCTTCACTTTACCGATAGCTTTAACAACATTCATAGATACTTCATCGGCCACTTTACCGAAAACAGTGTTCAATCCATTGAGACGTGGAGTCGGGGCTAATGTGATGAAGAATTAAATCCCATTAGCCATACTTAGGATACCCTCTGAGTTGTGTTCGAGTCCCGTGCCTTTGATTTCGTCCGCAAATTTATTGCCCCGTTTAGATGTGCCGCCGCTTCCGGTGCCGGTGGGGTCCCCGCCCTGTATCGCATACTTATCGGTAACTCTATGAAAGATGGTTTTGTCGTATTTGCCACTCTGAGCGCGTTTGATAAAATTGTCGCACGTCTTGGGCGTCTTCGAACAGAACAGCTTTAACTCGATCTTTCCTTTATTGGTCACTAGAGTCACAAGTTTTTCCCCGTCTGATACTTTCGACGACTCGATCGATGATATGATTAGTAAAAGTACTTTCAATACAAATAATTTGGTTTTATTTGCGCCGATATTCATGTTTGTTGTAACAAATGTTTTAATTTTAATAAACTTATTGCTTTTTTCCACGCATTCAACGCTATTATAAACTAATTAATTAAAATACAGACTCATTAGGAAATGACACTCAAATTCAGTAAATATAAACGTATGTTTTTAATATTTATTTAAATGAACAAATGTTATGGTTTAAAAAATACATTATTTAGTCATTGATTGCCATCACCTGATAGTTGTTTAATTGCCAAAAACGTGCCCAAAATCAAAACGTCTGATATTTAAAGTTAATAAACATTGTTAAACACTAAATATCATGTTTTCAGACGATTAGATGAGTACAGGGCGAGTGCGCGAACTCCATGGCAAACCCGCGCGGCATTGTCTTGAGGTCTGTGAATGTGGTGAACTGAGTCCATGTGGAGGAATGGAAATGAATGACTTGATGGGAATTTGTCGCTACTATTAAACCATAAGTTTTTACATTAATTAAACGATTAATTAAAAAACATCATAACAATTGACTCAATACTTATAACAGGAGAGATGAGTGGTTCCAAATCGTACGAACAAATCCGATTAGATCCGGGATATGTGATCCAGTAGTGGTCGCTCTGACAGACACCGTCTCGACGAGAGGTACGGCGCGGATAGAAAGCGGCTCTCGCTCTCAATGGCAACAGTGCTTCGGATGTGTCGAAAAAGGGGGCCGACATTGAAAGGGAAGGGTCGCCAACCAGTATGGGTTCGGTCAACGGACGCGCTAGGCTGACCTGATTACACCGCTAGGATAGCTGATTGCGGCTCAGGCATGACAAACACACCAGAAGCCGGCGTAATAAACAGGGCAATTACCGATACCAAACGTGAAGGCCACGCAAGCAATTTGAGTAATAACACATGTTTTTCGGTTTCCGAATACATATCGAGTAATCGATGTCTTAATTTTGTGGAAAACAATTATCAATGCGAATGGTATCGAAAATGTATAGACTATTCAATCATATACTTTGCAAATAGCGTTTTCCGTCAAAATTGAAAGTTTTTATGAGTCCTCTATTCGTGTTATAATATTGAAGGCATCCCTGAGGGGCTGACACAGGCATTGGGTTTTAGATAATTGCAGATAAAAGGCCATAAAATAGAGGCAACAATAAAGTAGAGACATACCCAAGAATTCCTGCGGCAAATCGCAGGGAAGTTGTGTTATCTTTATTCTCCACTTTCTATCCATTTGTCGAATTCCTGTCAAAACAGTGAATGCAATGACATTACTGTCCGATTCGTCGACCGGAATATACACTGTTGTTATACAAAAAACAAATTGTCAATATTTTTTGCAATAATATTTATTAAAATGATATTCAATACGAATCGCTTACAGTGGTGTCCAGTGTTTGTGCCGCACAATACAGGTATGGGTTGATTGCGGTTGGATTGGGTCACTACAAACAGATCTTCCTTACAGTTGGACTCACTATTGATTGATCCGAAATTAAGTTCTCGCAACTCTTGCCTATAATCGATTGGATTTGCGATTTCAAACTCGATAAAATCTACTCTGTATTGACACACCTATCATTATATTACAAACAATTGTCATTTAATATTTGATAACTTCTTTAAAATAAAATACAAAATACATTTGAGTGCAGTTTTTGGACTTTTAGAGTACAACTGAAGGGTTCGTTAAAAGCGTTTGGATAATCGGGACTCAAAAAATAGGAAACGTTTGCGTTTACTGTCTTTCCGCAACTGTTCTCGACTTTTGGACAAAAAAAGTTAAATCAATGAAATACTTACTTAATATTTGATGTTATATTTAATACTCACAGACACAACAAACGCCGTCTCCATTGGCACAGTTACCCCTTTGCACGCCATTGTGTTGAACACACTCTTCACGCGTATAACACGTGCCAAAAGTGGTCTCATTTTTGTCACTTATGGCTTCGCACTCGTTGTGGTCAACAGTGACCGAAGTGAACAGTGATAACGGATACAGTGCTATACATATTGCCGACAAATTAATAAATGATCATGGTCATATTAATTACACCTACTATACCTCTGTAACCTCGGTTATTGTCACCCGCGAACACATTTGTTAGAAAAACACTTAAAATATGAATCAAAAATACTTTACAATTCATTGTCTATGGGATCGAGACTTTATTTCAATGAAAAGTATTTTTCAAACATTCGCTACAAATTGTGGACGAAGAGTGAGTTTTGAAATTAGTTTTAATTTTGAAAGTTTATGAAAACAAGACGTCGTGTGTGAGGGAGAAGAGAGTGAGTGATAGTAATCAAGTGATGCTATCAGTAGACACTTAATGTCCACTCTCTGGTCACTTGACATAAAAGTATACCAATTATACTGACCTTCACCTTAAATATAGTACAACCATATCATGAAAACAGTCTTAAATAAAACTTTTAAATAATTTCAAATAATTATTAAAATATTAATCCTTTATTAGCAAATACTGGGTTTAAATTGGGTTAAAATTTATATCAATAAAAATTTATCTATAATTGAATTTCTTTTTAACAGTAGAAAAATATTAGTGAAAAATAAAATCTATTAAAATAAACGTTAATTTTTACAAATAAATGCTAAAACAAGAATATATTTAAAACAAAAATACATTTAAATTCTGTGAATGAAGAAAATAGTGAGCAAAACAACAAAAATGCAATCCAAAGACGTGGCGAGAGAACCGCTGACAACACTTTTAGTCTTGTGATCTTTGTTATGAACCTATAAACAGACCATTTGTTTCAATTATATAAACATTCAATATTTTAATCAATACAAACCTTATGGTGATCGGAGTGATCCGAGTCTACATTGTTTCCTCCTTTGATCGCTTCGTGAGAACTGATGATAATGTGTTGAGAGGTCTGATTCGTCCAAAAGGTCTTCTTGTCCTTCACAATAGTGCCCACAAACAGAATGTGAGTTCCTTTGGGTAAGTCTTCGGGTGGGACCCAAACCACAGACACTCGGTGTTTGTCACTTCTGTCCGAATGTGTTATCGTATTCTTGGTATCAATAATAAAAGAAAAAGCATTTTTAACCGCAAACAAAAATAAAACATTAGTGTAAACTCACGTCTTGTTGTCCGAAGCAATTGATTGTATGTATATTACTGTCTTTAGGCACAAACTTTCCCAGAGCGGCGCCATTGAATCCATTGGATCCGTTGGTCAGATGTGCCTGAACTGCAAACCCACGGAAAGGTGTGTTTTGTGAACTTTCAATGATAAGCTCAATTGAGTCGCTGTTCTGCTGTCCAACCAATACGTAAGGCGAGGCAGCGGTCTGTGAGGGCACCAAATGGTTGGGCACAAGACCTTTGCACACCGTCTCGGGGGCGCCTCCCGGGTGGCACTCAATCACACCAATCGTTAACACACTTATCACACATAAAATGCTAATTCTTGTTGTAAAATACATTATTAATAAAAAATATTTGACTTTCAATTGAAAAAAATTAACGTTTAAACTGATGTGATGTGTAATGATTGGCAGAAACTAATGAAATAACCAAAATGTTTGTCTCAACGAAAGTGAAACATAAAAGTGATGCTAAATAAAGGAACTGGAAGTTTGAGATTCCCCTCTAATTCCCTGTTTTGACAAATAGTGTCTGACTTTTCAAACAATGACTTCAGAGACCATTTCCTACCAAAAACTTTCATTTAAACAGTGGTTTGGTTTGAAAAGTGCATTACATTTACATTAATCCCTATTCACTGAAAGCATAGTCTTATACACAAGAGGAATGATAAGTCGGATCAGCGATAGGTTTGCACTCATTTCCCATCAATACTTCGCTTGACTTCCTATTAATAATCACTTTTTGCAGAAATTTTATTGTATTTGACAGTAAATGTGCGAAACATAACTGCTATTTAAAGTACATATAAGTGTGTCATTAATGCTGTAAATATGTAATTGACTTGAAGTTAAAAATTAGATTTTAATAATCATTATCATCATACGAATTATGCACTTACTATGATATATCTACAATATAAACGAATCATAATGATCGATTTATAAATATCTTGTTAAATCAATCATTTATCAAATAAGTTTGGAAAACAACTACTCCTTAATATTGTTAATAAACCGATTAAAACAAATGTTTAAATTACACATAAAATATAGGTTTTAAAGGATTAGTATAATAATATTAGTATTATATTGTCAAATAAATTTGTTGAGAATTTTAAAAATAAATAAAATATAAGAGTATGCTTAAAATTGAATATAAATTATTCAAAACAAAATTCAATCATCATAATATGATTAATTTAATAGTAACTTATTTTGAAATATATTTAACTTTAATTAATTTGTAGTCAATATTATGACATTTTAAATAAACCAATATCCTGTTATTATGTTTTATTCACACTTTTATACATATTAATTGTTACTAACTATGCTTGTTTAATGTCTGTATTGTATTGTTTGATATAAATGTATACATGTTTACTACTTTATGTATAACTTTATAATCAATTCAAGTTGGTAACTAACTCAAACTTCTTAGAATTTTTGATAACATCATAAAATATTAAGCTAGAATATTTTTGAGATTTTAAGAATTATAATTATCAATTATTATTTTTGTTTTATTATTAATAAATTATTAATTATGTAAATTAAGTACACTATCCAATTAAATGATTTGTGAATAGTTTTATATTATTTTTTAACGGGGAAACATTAATAATAAAATTTATAAATAAATAATAGATAATAGCATTAAATAAATAATAATAGCATTTAATGCTAAATTCTTGAATTTTTAAATCCATCCATTATTAAACTGAAAGTTGCATTAAATTAAATATAATAATTGTATTTATTTGATCATTTTTATATTTATTTAGTTAAACAGCATTTTAAACAAATACAAATACTTAAACAAATTATAAATATAACATAAAATTCTAGGTTTAGTGCTAAGCCTTGAAATGTTTCTTACATTTTACGAGACATTTATTTAAATTAATTATTTAAATTTCGTTTGCATTTCAAACACATTTTGTGATTTATTATCAAATTAGATGTATTTCATGCGATTCACGCATATATAGCGCCGACACTGGGATTCAGTGAAACGCTATGAAAAAGTTGGCATTTCTTCAAACAGTACTAATTGTCCGACGAATGGATTTATAACTTTTTGCACATCATTTTGGATTCAAGACATACACAATATTTTAAAGTTTTAAAACTACAATTTCCCCACAAGTATATAAAATGGTTTATAATCCCCTACACTGTTATAGCAAACATTACTAAACATTTAGTTAATGAAAACTTTAATGAAAAACTAATTATTAATAATCAGAATATTTATAATTTTTCAAATGTTTGTCTAGCTCAATTATACAAATTAAATAACATTAAAGCTGGAAATTCGACGACAGTTTATTAGCCGACGCAATGCCCTATACTATAAATTACGTACAGTATATCACAATCACTGCAAAGTTAGAGTGCATTGTCTTTGTCTCAAACTGTAAACATTATTTATGTATAGCGCTAAATCACTTTGCATATCACTTGTACAGCGAATACTACATAATTTTTCAGTCGTCGAATTAACTGTCGTCGAATACACAGCTTTTATGTAATATAATACATTAATATAAGTAGTATAAATTACTGTATATACCCGTACTATACTGGATTTGTAGTTAAAACTTTGATTCAGACCTTGTTTCATATTTTTTGCTTAAATGACATCAAAATTAATACCAAAATATAAATCAAAACCAAATATAAGTAATATATTTCTATGACTCGAACGCATATATTAAATGAGCTTTAAATACATTATTAATTTCATGTTCTTTGGATTAGTTTCGCATAACTTTCCACTAAAAAAGTTTCTCTTCAAGCGATAAATGCTTTGAGATTTTCTCTAAAGATGTTTGCGTTAATCGTAAGTATATTTGTATTAAGAGCCACTAATTAATGCATTATTTGACAAATAAAACACTAAATTTGGTTGTGTTTTACACAGTTGTGTCTAACATTTGCATTCATAACACCCACACCATCAGTGCCATTGAACCAAAATCAACTTTATAATGTATACACTTATGGAAATGTACCCCAAAATTATTACATCGTTCCGTATTATACGCAAAGATTTTCGGCAAACAATTACGGCCAGAATGGGTACAGCGGTGGCCGACACCTAAACGGTCCCGTATATGTCGACCCCTCATATGGTTATGGAAATTACATACCACTCACTCCCGTTCCCATTCCCAACGATTACATACCGATTGTGGGAACGGCTCACTTCCCCACCGCTCCCGCTATGAGAGGCACCGGTATTCAAACAGCGGGACGACCGACACATCCCGATTACAGACCGCCTACTCAGTGGTCCCGACTCTGGCCGCCGGCCAATTGGAATCCTTCCCTTCCCGGCGGTGGAGTTGACTATAATTTTGAAGGCAATTACAACTCTTTCCACAACAATAATACGACCGAAAGTCCCGGCGATTGGGATAATGAAGACGACAGGGAGGAGGAGAAGAAGAAAGACAAGAAAATAAGTGACGATAAGTCAGAATCAAATGCTGACAATAATGAAGCCGATAATGAGGATGAAAAATGAGGTATCATTTTGAGTGAATTGGAAATATTGGTAAGAATTAAAACCTATTTCTCTCTTATACTTTAGATTTAATTTAATCAAGAATTTATTGTTTGTTATTAAAAGTAACACATTATCCAAATTTTCAACAAATTATTTTCATAACGTTTAACAAAATAATTTACTTCAGGTTTATTAAATCAAATATACTTTTTTTTATATATTTTTAATCCAATGAATAGTTTTATATCAAATTCTAATTGATTGTGTCGTTTATAATGAAATATTTGTCTAATTTCATGAATTTTCATTAAAATATTTTGTAAATTTTCTATTAATTATTAGAAATAAATAATAAATTTACGAAAAACACAACAAATATATAAATTAAGTAAAAATTACTATTTTTCTAGAATTGCCTAAAAATTGAACGATATTTACACGAAAAGTCAAAAATATAAATCATTTCGCGATTTCTAGACAATCATTAACACAACAAAATCTCTATAAAAAGGTTACGCAACCAAAAGGAAGATCTCATTGGAAAACATAAGGTAAGTCTTCGCCACAAAACAAACACACATTTTGGGCAAAGAATTCAATCAATTTGTTTTCGTCTACAAAATATCGACCAGTTTTTCATTTTTGATAATCAATTCGATGTTATTATACAAGAGATGTAACATTTTCTTGATCTGCCGGAAGAGTCCGAGCACTCCCTTCACCCTTAGGTGCAAATCGTTGGAAATATCTGTGTTAACGGAACTCAGTTTGTGGTCGTACTCGAGGACGGGCTGCTCTTCGGCGGCCACTCTGTCGATGAGTGTCTTCACTTGTGCCGAGTCTTCCACTGATATGAGATGAGGACAGAAGCGTTGCTTTTTGTCAAACCAGTCGTGCTTTCGGGACACCGACCGAAGACAGTCCTTCGCCTCGGCTATAGAGCCCTCGCATTCGTGTGCATTCACTATAATATTACAGATTATCTTCTGATCCATTCGCTTGTCGTCTATATTATTGTTTTGTTTATTACTTTTTATTATTATTATTGCATAAAATGAACACTAATTTGAGAGAGAATTCATTATATTTTAATTGCAAATCAAGAGTTATTTTGTTATTTCGCAAAAAACAAATAAAATATCATAAAATTTCTTTACACTTAAGGATGAGATTCAATGCAAAGCAAGAATAAAATGGTATTTCATTTGAATGAAATCCAAAACACTTTAACGTTTCGTAGAAAATGTAAATGAGATGAAAAATAAATCAATTTTAAATAAATCTTAATTTAAATGTATTTCAACAAAAAATTCAAACATCAAAGAATTGAAGCTATTTTACGTCTAAACATACTTTTTATTGATTTATTTTATTTAATCACTAAATTTTAATGGCTTTGCCTTTCAATCAAAGTCTTTATAGTATTTTTATCGCATTTTTCATTAAAACTGAATCTCTGGTTTGAAATCTATGATAAGAAAAGCGCTTATATTTACTTAAAGTAAATTTATTTAATGACAACTTAACGTAATAAATGATAACACGAGAGATAAGTCCATTAAAAACATATCAAATGTTAATATAAAACCGTCTAAAAATTCTCAAAAATCTAAATACAATTCTTAGCGATTCTGTCACTGAATGCCAAACAATAATGTTTTTCAAAAGCTTTGAATTTTTTTATTCATCAAATACTACACAAAAATGTGTCTAAAATTAAAATGCATTCAAAAACATGACACAAATTTCACAATTATTTTTGAGTCTATATTTAGTTTTTGTTATTTTCTTTAAAAGAGAAGTTATTTTCTCGATTCAAGAATTCATTGTATTTTTCAAAATCACTAAATCTTTACCATTCATTGAATGCATCACTTTTTGGCACTCATTTCAAAGTGATTTGTATTTTATAATTATAAATAGCTATTCATTACATTCAATACACTGTATTGTAGTCACTATAATATGGATTTAAAAATTAACATTCATGCTATAAAATTTATAGTATAAATGCTAAACAATTATATCCATTCATTGTCCCCTTTATTAGCAACCAATTGCCCCCAATTTGCCCCCTATTTACACCCCATTCACACCAATCCTATTGTAATTACATTAATGTATATAAAATTAATTTAATTCAAACACATTTAATAACATAATATTAGTTTAATTAATAAATATTTGTAAAATTAATTATAAAAATATTATAAATTATATAAATTAAAATTGTACGAATAATTAGTTAAATTGGGACACATTATAAAATATAACACATAATTAATAGATAACTATAATTTAATTAATATTAATATTAAACTAAACATTGGTTTTAAATGACATAAACAGTTGTCAACACTTTTGACATTTAAAACCCAATCAAACCATTCATTAATTAATATTCATAACAATTAAAAGCAAATGTAATTTCACTACTAATTCACTCACAGTTTGTGTCACTCATTATAAGTGCAATGAATTTGAAGCACCGATTAATTCATCATAAAATGTAAATTAAATGCGATTACAATAAACACTGGATTTCTATATGAATTGTATTTCAACAGCGATTAAAGTGTGCATTGGTTTGCATTACAGTTAGACTGCGATTGTGTTAAGCCTTCACACAATTTACTGTTATTGTTGTTTACAAACATTGAGTCTCTGTTCATAAACACCGTTACCATCGCTTTGAACGCATACTTTTGGGCCCATTATTGTAGATAATGTGCCGAAGAAGTGGTGATTCTGTAATTGAATACAACTATTTCATCGACATCTGTGTCCAAATCATGTCATTATTAACTTTCCTTTAGATATTTGTTTTACATTCAGTAAAAATATAATAATTTTATTGAAATTCAATTAATCTCTATTTATACACCAGAATATTCTGTATAAATGGTAGTATATGGTAACTTTGAGTATATGGTAACTTTGAATTGAATGCATTTATAACTCTTATATTACAGGATCGTCAGCAATGGTTAGCTGAAGTGATTGTAATAAAGTGTTTGTAAATTGGATAACAAGTTATGAGCAAATATTTTGTACACTTTTTGTTTGTAAATAAAAATCTTTAAGAATTGATTCAATACATGTAAAATATATACAGTTTTCTCATCAGAAGACACATCTATTGAATCAAATATTACAATATATTTGAATATTAATGTTTAAAACATGATTCACTAACAAAAGTCATGCTTTAGAGTCGGTAATGATTGTTTGGTGTAAAATGTATTAAAATACGGTAATTGAACAATCAGTGCGGGAGTCGAGCGTAGATATAGATCTCACTCATTAGGGGATTAGTACTTATTATACGATTCCATAACCAGTTTGTAATCACTTTCGATGGATTGCTTGTTATAGTAATTGAGTCCATAGTTTGTGAGAAAAGGTGTCAAATCTTGGCTTTTACACCATCTGTTAGATAAAAGTAATGTTTAATTAGATGTTTAATTACTATATATTCTAGTATTCAATACCTAAGAGCCGTTATCTCATCCAAGTCTGTGGATCCGACCAAACACGAGGACTCCAAGAATGTGGTTGCGATGAAAAGTCGGGCCAAAGTGAAGGAGAAGTCGCGGGAACCGGCGTCTAATACGTTAGGATTGTTGTAAATTATGTCGATAATGGTGTCGATCGATGTCTGAACCCGAATGGCCTCCTCTTTGAGTACGGCGTGATTTAAAGCCATCTCTAAACGACTTTTAATGTGAGATCTAAACGCTCGAAGAGCTTCGCCACCGGTTTTAG